GCAGGTGGACAGTTGCGGCTGTAGTTGTGGATGTTTTGAGTAGTAAGAAACCCATAGAATTCATCAGATGCAAGCTGTTGCACACACAGGAAAGTACTTCATACGTCAAGGGGCCCTGCAGGTATCCAATGCCACTTCAAGTAGCCGCCGATCGACCAGAAATCGGTCTCACAAAAACCCAATCAATTTATCATCATGTACAAAAGGATAAGAGGTGGTTGACAGATGGCTTCAGTGACCGTTCAAACAAAATCGAGGGGACAACCGGCGCTCCGCCTTCTGCCTGACGTAGGCAAATGCGCTCCCCCAGTTCTTCGAATTACTACCAGATTCCTGATGTCGCCTGTAACATTTCTGTTACACTCATTCGTAAAGCAAAACAGCGTTGATGCTCCCTTTACCATATCCACGCACTAACACAACATAGTCACCTCTCACATATGTATATAATGCACTCTTAATTGCCATGGATAAAGGAACCTATTTCTCAACAAACATATCTGCAATGAAACCCGTAACTTACTGAGTCGTACCACTCATTATTTGCAAAATGGAATTCAACTCTCGAAAACTACGAGTCCTTCAAACCTACAACTTTTGAGTGAAACTGTGTATACCTGCTGAATTTCTCTGCAAATTATCTGCATGGATGAGTAGTTCAAGTGAATATTCAAAATCGTCGATCACAATAGATTGAAAAACCAGTGCTGAAGTTGATGAAATCGTGAATTTTTGCAAAACTTAAATCGCTTACAATTGACGAATGTGGCGGGCAGTTCTGTAACTGAAATAAATCGTTGAGTTTTCTACAGTCTATATCGTACCGTTGGATGCAAAATATGTGGAAGTGTTGCTCCCGTAATTAATTTTACTCTGTATATCCTACCTGACTGTACGAATACTCAGCTGTGTGTTCTCAGACCTCCGGAATAGCCTTTCCGATTTACCATCCTGGCAGACACATTCATCATTCTCGGGGTTTGAAGAACATAAGGTTTGTGGACGTTGATGAGGTGAAGTTTGGTGTTAAATTATGGCAGAGTTTTTCATTGTAGCTGTCAAATTATGTCTGGAGGATCACAGAGAACCGCTGAATGAACCTAGCTGATGCGCACGAATGACATGCGGCTAGGGGTCAACGATGCCCAATCAACTGGCCCATACGCACTCATCCGTCTCTACCAGGAAAATTTGAAGGTGTAAATCGTATCATTTAGTCACCAGCTCCGGAAGGGTCCCCACATAAACCCTAAAACCCTCCGTCTCGGGGGTTAAGCTTTGGAGCCAGGGCTACGAACAAGGCCTCAGAACGAAGCGTTGCATTCCCCCACTACCTTGTGGGTCGAACTTTTGAGCCAAAGGCTCGAGATAGGGTACCTCATCCAAATCCCTTTCTCCAGCCTAAACAATTGAGAAGCGTTAATTGCCCTTGCAGCTCTTCGCCAACCAGCTTTCCGCTACACTCTCTCCCTACCCGTCGAACAACGCGGTGCGGTCAACTTATCTGCCTAACCTATAGCTACCTTTGCATATCTAAACCATGCCCCAGACGAATAAACCAGAATATTCACCTCAATCAATCAATCAATCAATCAATCAATCAATCAATCAATCAATCAATCAATCAATCAATCAATCAATCAATCAATCAATCAATCAATCAATCAATCAATCAATCAATCAATCAATCAATCAATCAATCAATCAATCAATCAATCAATCAATCAATCAATCAATCAATCAATCAATCAATCAATCAATCAATCAATCAATCAATCAATCAATCAATCAATCAATCAATCAATCAATCAATCAATCAATCAATCAATCAATCAATCAATCAATCAATCAATCAATCAATCAATTAATCAGTCAATCAAACAGTCAGTGAATCGATTGATAAATTTATCAGTCATAAACCATCTGCCGTAGGCACATTTGTTCCAGCTGCTACAGTTTTACTCGCCGAAAAAGGAAAAGTTGAGCAAACAGCCAACCCTTGGAGGCAAAAAATTTTCCGTTTGTTCGGAAGTGAGACAGCTACGCATTGAAGGCGATAGCCTTGATAAACAAACGCCACTGACTGCGCGATCGGACCGCTTCCGCCAACGTCGATTACCACCGGCAATTTGAGTCCCGATGTTCCCATCCAGGGAGGCGGCAGTTGCCAACATCACCGAACCAATCGTACCTCACGCCCCGTCGTTCGAATGTTTCTATTCCAACAACCATGATAACTTCACATATTGAGCGTATCTTGTTAGTTTTAATTTCCTTCTGTGTGCTGTTGCCCGCTGCTTGAGATTGAGAGCAACCCGGCAATGTCTAAGTTGGTATATTTCTCACAAGTAGCAAAATAAACGCATTTCAATTGGCCATTTATGAAGCCGTTGCAGAGCAAGTCCAAAATCAAACGAGCGTCAAAATTTAACAGGAGCTATCAATTAAAAGGAATCGTTACAAAATGCAGGTAGAAAGAGTGGAATAGGCAGAAATTCAGACACTTGCCTATTTCGGCCGAGGTTCTACCTGCGTCGCGTGGCCCATAACTGCACAATGCTCTTAGCTGCAAAACTTTGCAAGCGGAATAAAACGTTGTACGCCAAAATGTTGCATTATGTCGCGTATGTGCTCCAACTGAAGACCATCCAAATCTACGTTCATCTTTTTGCAGCTCATCGGATTTCATTGTCCACTGAAGCAATCTACTTCTGGGGGAAAAAGTCTGGCGGAACACTCTCCTAGCATCGCCGATACCCCGGGATGCCCATATGGTGTTCACAAGACTGGAATGGTACTCTGAACCCAATAACCTGTCTCTCTTAGTCCGACGGGGTTAATTCAATTTCACTGCGCGAACATTGAGCGCCCTGCGGCATGGGAGTGTGAACGTAAAACCGAATTTGCGCCAGACCTTACGAAGGGAGATGTATGAAGACAAATTCCAACAAAAGCGAGTCAGATTATGTTTTGGTTCGAGCATACATAAAGCGAAAAGAAAGGTTTTACGCGAACATTTTGACGCAGTCTTAAAGAAAGTTTCGTGTGCCAAATAATGATTGGCGTTTCTTAGTTATTCACTGTGGCTCAGGCAGAGCCACAGATGTGTAAACGCACCTGAACCGTCATCAAACACTCGTGTGCGTGTCTCTGGCGTGATTTCACTATTTTCTTGCCACCGCATTACCTCACCAAAACAGTAACTGCCAGAACGCAATTATTACAGACTACCAGCGCTTATTCATATTTTTGATTTCCGATTTGCAAGCTGCTTACACGATACAAGTGTTTTAGTGAGACTCAACTTAGGGCGTTGTGGCGACTTTTAACTTCACGCCAAACTAGCCTCATTCCGCTTTTTCTGAGATATAATGTTCGGTCAAGCTTCGAGCAATTTCTTCATCCTGCTTCTCAAAGCGAAACAATGCGGGCTTCCTTATTCTACCTAAGTAGGTGTTCAAATTCTCCCTTGCTGCCTACGGCGTTATCAATTGCTGCCACTGGCCATCCCCTATATTAACATGGATTATTAACCCCTCCGCACAGCTGTCTAAATGATCCGTTGTGATTGGCCATAGCATCATTTAAACCGCGTAGCATTCCCGAGTAGAATTTATGCTGAAAACATTTGTCTGGGTTTGTCGTAACCAAACTTTTTAGCTCACCTGGCCGATAGCCGCCACTGTGTAGGTTATTCCGAATTTCAGGAAAAAAATCCGAATGTTGTGTATCTGTACAGTGAATCGGGATGTTCCATCTTCAACAGTTTGCCGGGTTTCGTCCCGTGCCTCATCCATGATTTTACAGTCACTTTTTCTGTCTGTAGAGCTTTAACAACCTTTGAGGAAACTATCAGTTTTTGGTTGCGCGGCAGTGCATTACATTATGTTCACTCACCAATGCGCACCCTGAGCGTATTCAGCGGAGAACCTGAGGGCGACGTCTTCCCCACATTGGTCACATATGCAGCAATTTCTTTGGTTCTCCAGTAGCGGAATTCGTAAGCCTCCTTCATCTAGTGACCAACGTCCCAACTTTTCTTCGATATACTTGGGAAGCCGGCCGGAAATCCCCATTTTTTTCAAACGGGTTGGTAGACCAGGAGGGTCAGTGTGGTAACAAAGGTTGCGGCAGGGCTCCCGTCTTTCCCGTTGTTGACCACTTCCAACGGGCAGTAGAACGATTGCATAAATCCGATCGCCCTACAAGAAAAACACCCTGGATAGGAACCTTCACGGAGCAAAGCACCACTGGCATTGCTCCAGTCAGTTTGCCTCTGGCACCAGAATCCTTTGATACAGCTCGTACAATACCGTCTTTTGTACGACTAGATATGCTTTTGTTCTAAGGTTTTAGACCAACATGCGTCTGTTTGGTTTTTTGAACATTTTGGGGTGGTTTGATAAATGAGGCGTTCTTGTGAAGTCCTGAGCGTCGGCTGACAGCACCCAGAGGCATTTTTCGGTGGCGCTCCCGTGAGGCTTGCTTTTGCAGAGGGCCGCGCCTTGAAGCTATCCTGCACTTCTCTGATATCGAGAGTCTTATGCCGTTTGTTTGGCTGCGGTCGCCTTTCTTTTGTGTCTATGTGGGCCTTCGAATCACCCACGGTCGGCGTAGCCCACCGGTTATAGTGAGGATTTTCCGGTCGTATGTTGTCAGGTTAGTGGCTTTGATTGTCGTGGTTCTGGGCGACGACTGCGCCCGCAAACTAAAAGGCCTTTTTAACGCAGCGGAATCGAAGATTATCACTTTCACATTCTCAGTGGCCGTATGATCCCTGTAGAATCCCCTGATGTCGAATTCAACGCCTGTGGTCGATTAGTCGGTGGGATTTGCCGCTGGTGTATGCATGTCTGACCCAGTCCAGGTCAGAAGTTGTGACTTGGGTGTATAGTTCGCTGCTTCACCTTTATCGTCGGTTACGGAAATAAGTGACGATAGGTCTACGTATTTTGGGCGCTGCTTCCATGCGAGGCTTGCCTCCTCCTGAGCATCACCGACTACGGTGGTCGAAAGGTTTGCGGCGGTTCAGTATGAACTCGATCCGAAGTCACCACCGTTTGCGTTGGTGTGCTTCTAAAAGCACAAAGGACTATAACTACCGTCGGTTCGGCCACAAGTTTGGGCTCGGCTGAACTGGCGCTAATCAGAAGCCTGTATCGCGCCTCTTCTCTAGGGTTCGTGTGTCCCAGCTTTTGCGCCTCTAGAGGGCGATCCTCAGATATGCGCCTGATCGTTGGGTAGGCCTTGTGAACCCTGACAGTCAGTTTCAAGATCTTGTGCACGGTCGATGAGGAGGAATGGGTGACTAAAAGCCTAAGTATTCACTTGCATTCCTTCTAGAGCCTGAAGAATTTTGTGTTCGGGCTTCGTGAGGACACTACAAATAAGCGACTTCGCCTGTTTCGTTGATGTGACTTTTCTGGAGAATGACCCTCAGGTGATCAGCCTGCTCTTTCTCATGCGCCTGTCAACTAGAGATGCCGTGGCGGTCTTCATTGCCGCACCAGGGGGCCGGATGAGAATTAGCCTCTTGGCTTAGCTGTAAACCCGTAAGTTTTAATGTGCCACCAGGACCTGCAGATGTAGCATTGCATTCAATAAACACCCATTTCGCCCACATCTGTGGTGGTCCATCGATGGTTGTGGAGAGCAGTCTGTATTGATTTGGGTCAAGATTCAGACCGCGTGCACCGCAGGAAACTGAGCGCAAACTTAAAGAGGCGAACACGCAGAGAATTAGAGAGTGTGAACTCTGTAAGCAGATTGGCCAGCGGAAAACCTTTCACAAATCTGAACAAGGAAAACACGAAATCGCTTTTGGATGTGCGCGCGTCGCAAAACTGCTACTGTTACGGGATATTTTGTGGTACCAAACGAAAAAACTTCGTGAAAAATTTCTTGCTTCAGCCAACGATATGATGTTACTTCAGTTCGATATTCTTCTTAAAAAAAGCAGTGCTTCCTTGCCGGTGCCGGTTTATGGATGACGTCGGATAATGTCCGCCGTTTATGACACTGCTCCTTTTACTCGCGATACCCTGTACCCACAAACCTCGTTGGACATACTTTTATTTTGACTATGACACTTGATCATGACTGACGGTACGCCACCTATCGGTCGAGAGTTAGCATTATAATGATTATTGTGTATGACTGCAATTAAGACACTGACCGGCGGGGTGAAAACGACATCTGGGTTTTTGATGTATTCACCTAGTACACCGTCCTACACCCATCTCTTTGATGCGTTTTTTCGATTCCCAAAATCTAAAGTGTGTAACGCATGACTCCGTGTGTAAGACTATATGATAGTTCCAGTTTAGATTTGTTGGTTATGTACAGTAAAATTCGCTTAATAAAGAAGCCATAGTACTTGTTTGACTTCCACGGTTGTTCATTACCATGTGCCTTCAAATACAGTCTCTCGGGCTACCACGACAATGGTGTACAATATCTATCAATCTCCTGTAGCCTCAGACACAACCTGTTCGTGCTCCACGCCTCAAGATACCTCGACTTACCAGACCCTAGAGGAGTCTGTAAGGTTCAAAATTACCACGTCAAGTTTGTCCATATCCAAACAGCGTACTAAATATGCATTACCCCCTGTAGGCCCACATACAAGCTTACCATCTGATGCGCTCTCGTTGGGAAACCACGGAACCGTTCAGGGACGCCACCGGGGTAATAGTTTGCAAATTTATCTACTCCACACGAGGTGTTCTGGCGTTGCCTGGGTTGCGTGGTTGAAACATTGATCCCGGGCATACGAATTATCACCATTTCCATAGCCCAGTTCAACGCTCCTATATCTAGGCGGTGGCCTCACTCACCACGAGATCAAAAGCACAACACTACTCAGCTTCGCGGTCTCGTTCGATGTTCGGGGCATGAGGAATTGCCTTCTGAGTCAACCGGAATATGATAGCAAAATTGCGATTGTTTGCTTGCTGCGAGTGTTTGCAGCTAAAATGTTTGTTCATGTTTAGAGTTAGTAGTAGCCAATTATAGCGAACCGGCAGTCACGACAACAGTCACTCGGCAAAAGTCTCAAAGTCACGTTGGACTCAAAAGCGGGCGGTTGCGGTTGTATTTCATTAAAACAAAATTTTGTACAGTGACGTGACCGATATTAATGAGGAAAAGGAAGGTGATACTGAGCTTGAAAAAGAGCTGTTTACAAGTGCTACACTACCAACCCTCAATGCAGCATTCGACATGATGTGAAACCGGGACCACAGGATGTCCACTGTAGGGTCGGTCACAAGGGAAAACCGACCCCAGTTATCAACAACCCAAATGCGACATTGCGATCCCCTTTGACAGGGGTGGCAGGCGACCTGTTTTCCACGCCACTATCAGTACAAGACATTTCTACCCACTGGTTGTGTTGGTCCAGAGATCTATACGGAGACCAGTATACCTGGTTGGTGGTGCTCGGTGAGACGGTCGAACGGCATCATTCCGCGGTTTCACTCCGCGTCAGACAGCGGGATTTTCAACGTTAATATACCGGGAAAAGCACTTTGCACGTTCCATAACTCCGCAGCGAGCTATTTTTTGGAGCATACCAGCTACAGGACGTTGCCTTAAAGTTCCGAGCCAGGGCAACAAAAAACAAAGCTGACTCGTTTGGTGGTGAGTCGTAAAATCTGCTAAGCCCAAAAATATCGTGGCATTCACTGTGATTAACTCAATTGTCCGTGGAATCAGCGACAGTTACCTGAAAACGAAGCTTTCTGGGTCAGTTTTTAGAGCTTCTTTTCCTGATACTTGAAGAGTTGCAATCCACGACGGCTCGGTTCGGCACCCCTGAAGATTTCAGATGAATAGAGTAGGCATTCAGTTAAAAAGTGTACCGCAGATTCCGTTCACAAATTTAAAGTAGGATAAGGTCAATATTTACACGTGAGTTGCTGTCGCAAAATTGTGGACCACTTCTCTGCTTTTGGAACTGTCGACCAATAGGCTTGCAGTAATTAGGGCATCAGGCCTAGTCGCACATCGCTCCGATCGCCGACTCAGCGCTCCCCATGGTGGGTTTATACGTGCTACGTCTATATTTTTCAGTTTGTTATAGGGAATCTTGCCCGTCGATGTGCTTTTTATGGCCTGCGTAATCTTTCAACGTCTAATAGAGTTCACTCAGAACTCACATTGACGTTTGCCTCAACTGGACAGGTTTTCTACAACAAAGAAGTCGTCAGACAAGTGGATGTACCAACACTCACAGGACGTTTTGGCGTGTTGGCCGAACATGTCCCTACAATAGCTTGCCTGATGCCGGGACTTGTGTCGGTTACCGAATCGGACGGTACAGTAAAGTCCTATTTTGGTGAGTCTCATTGACATAATACTTTTAGTGGCATAATAAATCATGGTTGTACGGCAGTGAAGCATCGGTGTTGAACACTAATGTCATGCTATCGATGATAATGATGATGGTGATGATTTAGTGGCATAGCGGGGGGGAGCTCCGCTTTGGCGCAGAGCTGCATTTCCGTAGGAGGCACGATGCTTCAACAGAACATGATTGCTTAGGCCTACTCTCGGAACGCCAGGGTTGGTTTTAAACCCTATTAGCTAAGTTGATTGGAATTCTATAATCGTAATGGTCAGATGGACAGTGGTGCTGGTCTTGAATTGTTTCACACGAGGCACCCCTCGTGGTTATATATACAGTCCGTCTGCATTTTCATCCTGGTGGCTGTGTACTCGGAATGTTGGGCTAGCTGGCCTTGACATTTCCTCTTGTTTTGGTGTGGGCTGGGGCAATCGCATGCTGTTTTATGATCGTAAAAAACAACTGTAGTACCTTTTCCCCGCCCCTTTACCATGCCACCCGGAGGAAGCACGAGGGCTTGGATACTGCCAGGTTTCCCAAGCCTGGACGGGTTAAAATCGTAAAACAGCGTAATTTCAGCTTGTTCGGCGTCCGAGAATCTCAGGAATGATTAAGTCAGCGTGAAATTTCCGTTCGTGGTAGGTCTATTATAGGCCAGTGCACAAGGATTAACTCCACAGTATTGCCAGTTGGTCAGACCCCGAGACGCGCATTGTGCGGCAAAAACTTACTAATATCCAGTTGCGGTGGCCCGGGCTGTCATTCCGCAGTCCCATATGGTATGGAATGTTCGAATCACTGTAGCTGGTTCCACTGGACCTTTTCGAAACTCAACACCGAAAGTGGGAATATACGATGGTTTGTGAGGTATGGAAAGTTAACCCACTACTGAAAACCCAAAAGGCGGTAATCACCCACTACCAGAGAAATGACCAAGATGTGAAGCATTTAGCCAGTGAGGTTCGAGAACTGGAAAATAAGGTCCTTCCATGACTTGACTTCAGTTCCGTCGGCCCTACAGGTGCTCTGGACACCCGGGTCCAAGCCAGTCCCAATTCATCATCTAACGCCTCCACTGTCCCAATGGACCCACCGAAACAGTAATTGGCCAACGCGACTGTCTTAGATTGTGTCATACTAAGCGCTTAGCGGCCGTCCACTCTCACAGTGTAATTTTGTGTCCACAATCAGCTGTAAAGAGAGTTAATGAGAAGTGATGCTCGGCTTTTGTAACTGACCTGCATCATTAGACGTTAGTACACATAACACCCTGCGTTTCATGTGTGTGGAAAACAGAATACTTCGGAAATGTGTACGGTGTATTCCAACACATTAATGTTAGGCCTAAGGCTTTGACGGGAAGCCTAATACACCTAATTTTAACGGACGGCGTTTTGTTAGTCACTCGTGACACAAAGAACGTGGAAACCACTTTGCTGACCGTCTACATTCCACGCAGCGTGTATGCCCAGACGTCCTGAAATGGGAACTTTAACTGCCGTGACTCAGTCCTCCACAAAGTTAGGACTAAAGAGAACAACAGGATGGTTTTCACTCATGGCATGCCGCGCCTGACTGACCCGGATTTGGCGATGAACTACCGCCATGTCTGTATTGAATTGCTGGGCTCCTTGCCTTCTCTAGGTTCCTGACTACTGAGGTAGCCCATCTCGTACAACTATAGGTTCACGCGTCATCAAAGCTACCTTATCCGCTTATGTTGTAATCCAGATACCAGGGGCGGGATTCTTGCACCGAAACACAACTGCTGTAGCCGCACTTTCTTAACTAGGGTTCTACGGCCGACACGGCGGACCTGGCCAATCACGACACGGTGACATTTCCCACTCGAACCCGTAAGTGAGTAGGTCGCATAGAGCAAGTGAACGCGTCAGACGAACCGGGACTGCTAACCATCGATCTGCTGCTACATGAACGTCCAGAGTTTCCTCAACAAATATACTTACCAATGCTTACAAATATACCTACTGAGACGTCATCGTGATCTGTGAAGCTAAACTAAACTTTGGCATGTTAGGTTTCCAATGCTTACAAATATACCTACTGAGACGCTATCGTGATCTGCGAAGCTAAACTAGACTTTGGCATATTAGGTTCGGAAGTCTGAATCTTGGGACTGTCACGTGTGAAACGCGAGAGTCGGGGGGAGGGGTCGCTCCTACCACCGAAGAGCACTGACATGTAACCCAGTACACCACCTCCCCTATGAATATTACACCATCTTTGGCTTTTCCATAGCCAATGAAAATGACCGCTTCGTCACAGTGCTACCTCGCTCAACAGTATATCTCAGGACGACTGTGCTAGCTGCTGTTTGAAATGCGACCAACCTTGGTTAGTTTCACCTGCTACGCGTAGATGATTTTAACATTCCTCCACCCACGGACCTAGCACCCTGCACTTCTCTCTTCAAGAGTCATCTGTTTTATCCAGTCGCTTTTGCGACTGAACCATGTAAAGTAATTCACCCACTACCAAGTTTTCAAAACCCCTTCCTTACTCGAATTTATACTTAGCAACGTGGAACTCACGGTGGAAGTTTTCAAGTTTCACACTCCACTCGGCCGCAGCAACCCGTCACGAAGAGAGTGAACCTTACCGTTGTGTGGCGGTTTGTGTACCTCGGCGACCCATTGAGCTATACTGGGGGGTGTCCGCACGACACTCACAGAGTCGCTCATACCAGGTTGGTCAATGTTTAGAGGTCTGACGAACACACTCTCCTAGCCCTCCAGGTTGGGGGTTAGAACATGTATGGCGACGTGTTCCGTAAAAAATGGTAATGTACTTGCATTTCCAGCCGAACGCCGCTGCCTTGCGGTTAGGCTTTCGAGCCAAAGGCTTTGGTTGAGGACCCTAATCGTCCTCCTGTCTAGGTGTGGGCGCCCTGGCAGTATCCCAGCCCANCTTTCCGAACTCCGAAGACCTCCGACATTTGTGGCACCGGCGTGATGTCACCTTGACCGTCAATGGTGGAATACACAATAGCGCGGTCCGAGCTGTTCTACTTTATGGATCAGAGAGTGTGGAGAACCTTCGAATTTTCTCTTTGTTTGATCACAGGTGCCCTCGAAGCATTTGGTGCTTACACCAGATCAGTAATGCTGGAGTACATCAGATAGTTTTCGGGAAAGCTCACTCCCTCGACGGAAGAGCTGTTTATACTCCAAAGATTACTCTGGACAGAGTACTTGCTCACAGAATGCCAAGGAAGTGGAAGAGGCCCAGAAAGCTGGTAATGCCCGAAGATTATTTCAGTTGACCCGGAAACCGCCTGTGAGCGAAGCCATCAAGGATCGGAATGGGGTGAACATCGTAAGTAAGGAGGGACGCCTCGGCCGATGGGCCGAATACTTCGAATGACAATTGTCATGGCCACCAGCTGGCACCCATCTGGAGCTCACATGTGACGTAGAACCCTGGGGGGTGAACTTGGAACCTCCTACGGCCTCGAAGGTTCATGACTGCGTATGTTCCCATATGCGCCACCGAGCCTCTGGTCCGGACGACCTCCCATCCGCATGGTTCAAAGATAGGGGTGAAGTCCTCAGTCAATGCTTGTTTGGTCTTTTCGCTTGAGTCGGTGATAGTGAGCGGTGTTAGTCAGCGGCAACCACAGGGGAGTTAGCTTGACCCCGGTCGCAACGATACTGTTGGCGTCAATTGTGCTTCGTCGCCCTACGGAGGCTCGTGAAACACGGACTCGAGAGCAGCAAGCGTGATTCCGGCCTGGTAGAGGTTGCTTTGACCAGATCTTCAAACTTTGTCAGGTGCTAGAACAACGCCATACGTATAAGCGACCCGCAATTCTAGTGTTCCCAGATTTCCAAGGCGCATTGGCTCGATTGACCGGTCTGTTCTGCTTGAAACGCTTGCTCACCAAGGAATCCCCCGTAAGTTCGTGAACATATAAGCTCTTTGTATTCCCAGACTTCCGGACATGTGAGATTATGCGGCGAGCTCTTCAAAAGTTTCGTCACGTAAAGTGATGTCCGTCAGAGATGCCCACTCTCCCCATTCCTGTTTAACTTCGTGATCGATGAAATCATGGAGCGAACGTTGGAAGGTCTCCGAAACCCCGGTGTTCAATTAGCTTGTGACGGAAGTCTTGTCGATCTGGAATATGCAGACGACATCGTTCCAATCTTCGCAGAGGAGTGGAAGGCGCGAGTGTTTTTGAATGAACTGACCAAAGTCATCCCGTCCTTTGGTATGTACTTTGCACCCACAAAGTGTAAGGTCATGCTCCTGGACATGCAGTCACTGAACACGCTGCTTACAACCCAGGAAGATTCACTGGAAGCTGTGGAGAGTTTTACTTATCTTGGAAGTTGTATTAGTTCTGATTGCAGTGTGACAGATGAGGTGAATGCACGAACCCGCAATGCTCTGGTCGCGTTTGCCAATTTGTCAAAGTGGTATATCCTTGAATCTCAAGGACGTTTTATGAAGCTACAGTGTGGGCTGTTTTGTTGTATGACTGTGAGACTTGGCCTATTCGAGTAGCGGAACTGAGGCGTCCTCATGTGTTCGACAATCGTCGTCTCAGAAACATAGCTCCTGTGATTCGCTATCAATGTACCCGTAACGAAGCAATTAGGAAGCGAGTTTTCGGTTGTACGACGGGTACTTCCACTGAAGAATGTGTCCAACACCAGAAGCTGCGTTGGTTGGGAAATGTGTTGCGTATGCTGAACCATCGTTTGCCGCAGAGAGTGCTGGTTTCCATGCCCAATTGAGAGTGGCAGAAGCAGAGGGGTAGCCAACCCTTGACCTGGCAGAGGAGTGTGAAAGAAATTACGAAATGTTTGGATACTGTCTGCGATGCTTGCCTTTCAGCTAATGGCTGTCTTGAATCAATGCTATCGTCTTCGCTGCAATGCTTTCAATCCTTGCTCAATCCAGCAAACAGAACCATTTGATATCAGCGAATTGATTAGGCCACCGCCTCTTACAAGTGTCTCTCACTCCCTTATTCTTACCCTTGGTGATCGAAGCTATGTTCGCTGAAACCACTGCCCTTCGAAGCACAGTTTGTGATATGAGGAACTGAATTGAAATTCACACGGGACTGTCTGACAGGTCCTTCAAAAGAAGTGGTACCCTACCAATTCGATCCGCTTCCGCATTGACCTCAGCGTGCAGGGACCACACGGTATCACCCGAAGTACTTCAATCTGGGCCGCATCACTTTACAATCCGACTTCTTTGGAATGATGACTGTGGAGACTCTGTATCACCATTTTCACCGGTAAAACCGCGTACTTGTCTTACAATGGTTATGTATGCCACAGTTCCGATTGTCGATGAGTTTGGGTGGTTACGGATTAGAGTCCGTAGCTGGTCCGATCGATACGTCAATACTGAGGTGTCAGTGGACTTTTCATTGGGGAGATCGGGAAGGGAGCTATGTATTGGAAGCAACAGTTTGAATGCGCGAGAGCCATTCAGGGCGCTACTACGCCATGTTTGCCAATGTCTCTAATCAATGGGGTATCCCACATTGAGCAGGCAGGCAGTCAGCGCAGTTGAGTTTGATCGTAGTGGCTTTCATACTTCGCTGCCAAGTCATTTTTCGACCTTCCCTGGCTCACATGGTTATGCGAAGTCAGCTGACTGGGACACGGAGGGTTACTGATCAGGTATTCCTACCAAACTCGGGCAATACTCCGAAGATGGTCATACACCGAAAGTCTTTTGACGTCCTACTTGTGGTTCTTGGTGAGTAGTTAAGTGGGTGGACCTCGGAGTTGTTGCATAGCAGACAGAAGCTAGCTGTAGCGACTGAGGAGACCAAGGAAAGACATGAGGGATTTCACGTCTGTAGGTGCTGGCATGCCTTTAATGACATCGATGTTCAGCTCAGACCGCAACGACCAGGTCTTTAGTCCGTATAATAATATGGAGTGCACCACAGCATATAACCATAGCATATAACCTTATCTCACGCCTACGTCACGGGTGGTGCAGGTTCACGAAAGCTGCTTTGGCCTTCTCAATCCGAATAGAAATATCATCTTTGGCTATACCACTGTGACTGATGCAGCTGCCAGGGTAGACACCCATCTACCACTTCAATCGACACATTCGCAAGCATGAGTTCAGGGTTCGAACCTACTCGCTCTTGCAGATCCTTTTTACATCTTGCAGGTGTGGAGCGCATGTCAAACCGTGGGGCATACTTACTTAGATTTTTTAAAATATTGTTTGCATTACGACGGCGTTAGATCCAAAAAGAGCTATGGTTGTCTGTGTGGCGCAAATCTGTGAGTGAATGCCCTGGGAGACGGGTAGTGAGTCCTCCGTAATCATGAGTGAATTAATTAGCCACTTTGATTTCCTGTGGCCAGTCAGTTGTATGCATTCGGTTTAGGGCACGGCTGTTTCTGATAGCAAAAACCTTCTCCATTTCCTGGAATGTCCATCAAAGCTCTCGGGCTTTCCGGAGACTCTCCAATGTTTGTTGTTCGGGAAATTTGTGTGTGCCGTCGTACTCATTGCTTGCTGGTATGGATTTCCCAGTATCATTCAGTGCTAACGATCTCGAACTATCCAGTGGTTATTTGATCGTATCAGAAAAGCTGGAGAGGCAGTACTGAACGCCGCATGCCATGCTTCATTCATGTGCTCGTTACCAGTATAGTGTAGTATAGTATGGTATGGTATAGTATAGTATATAGTATATATATATAGTATAGTATATAGTACAGTATAGTATTCATTTACTGCAGAGAGCTGTTTAGATAGCCTAGATTGATACTTGTGAGCTGTGATAATTCTTCTAAGATGGTGGATTGGCATGCGTCTTGCTGATTTGTGATGGCCTAAGGGAAACGAACTGTCAAGCGTGAACGCACTATGGCGTGATCGGAATCGAGGTGCGTGCCTCTGAAGAAACGGCAATCTTATATTGTGGCTTTCCATCGGTGGCTAATGGCCACGTGATCCAACTAGATCCACGGTTGATTTGCGGTTGGTGGCCGCCAGGTTACGCTATGCTGCACGTTTGGACTGACCGGAAACAGTTGATGAACAGCACACAACTGGAAGAATCACTCTCCATTGTCCATAAGATGAGCATTGACTCCGAACCGATCACCCAGATGTGATTCTAAGGGACTCAGACGACTGACTTGGGCATTCACATCGCCCACAAGGGTCACAGTGTTAATGCTTCTTGCTTTACACTGGATAAATCTGGATAGAATTTATCCTTCTCGGTGTCAGACCCGCAGTCCTTTGGGACGTATGTCGACACTGCAAACAAGCACCGTTCTTTATGTCGAAGCGTTAAGCTTGCCTGAGGTGGATAACTGGACTACTCATGACTGACTTTTCACTGGGATCCAATCCAGTACAGCACGCGGAGGGACGTCGGTGGACAAAGAACTGTACGCGTAGACAGTACTCCCGGTCGTTCAGTACTAGGTAGCGTGTTTGGCCGGGACATCCCACCTTGAGTCCTTGACCCAAAATTCTGACACACAAGGCAGTGGGAGGATGTACGGTTGTTTTCTACAACCCTTCTTCTAGCCTGCGACTCGTAATACGATTTCTCGCACCGCGGAGACTCGTTCTTCATCGGGCTACTCCACGTTGGCCTTTCGGGCATGTCTGAGCCTCGTGAGACTTTGATGAACCATCACGAAGCGATTCGAACTTATCGTGGTGTGACGTTTAT